TATTCTCTTCACTGATTTGAACAATCTTCCATTCTTGCATCTGGTAATCTGAGCAATGTAGTTGAAGATAACAATATGTAATAATAACAACCACTGTTAATTCCTATCATTTTGTTTTGAAATTCTGTATCGCTTTTAATGTTCTTGCTTTGTTTTGTCTATGTTTGTGATGTTGGTATGCTGCTATTGTTCTTTTTTTTCTTTTACTATTCTCTTTAAAATAAAAAAAAATACCTGTTGCCATGTAAGGACAAATATTCGCAGGTTACAGGATTTAGGACATGGAAATTTCTGGGGTGAAAGGTCCATTATTCTATCTACTATAGATTATTTATTTAATAAGTTCATTATTCCAACAAAAGACATAGATGTCTCAAAATAATTTATTTTGAGCCATAAAATAAATTATCCTGGGTTCCACACTTAAGAATACTTTGAGTCTCTTCCATTTCTCATTTATGGTTATTATCAATGGAACGAGATTTTTTTCTCCATGACTGTCTACTTTATAGGCATGTGGCCACGAGGTGAGTTTGAGCATCTCAGAATGTATTTTGTAATTTGTACAGGTCAGAGTGGCAGAAAGACGCAAATGGCATAGCAGAACTTGGTAATTTGAAGAGAGTTTAATGAAGGGAATATTTATGAAGTTTCAGGCAGTGTTTAGAACCCTGGCATAGTAGCAGTGAACAGTTAAGCACTCTTAGCCTGAAGAGGCAAGAGGAGGAAATGACTATGGGAACCTAGAGAGGACACCCATGTGGGGAAGACCCCTGAGTAAAGGTGCAGTGGCTTTTAGCAGAACACATCCAACCCATAGCAACTTGGCAGAGAGTCAGAAGCAAAATATCCCATCTTCAGTCTCTTTCTGCCCTCCAACCTCTGCTTGTGGCTCTCAGTGCCAAGCCAAACAGAAGCCAGAGGGCTATGGAGCCCACATTGATACTTGCATACGTTTTGTGAAACAGAACAGGCTGGCAAAGATGAGGAAGTAGATTTGTGGGGGGTGCAGAAGGGGAAAGGGTTAGCTTAGAAAGTTACAATAGTTGAATGCTTGGAAAAAACTTATCCCTTCGGTCACATTTTGTCATTTTTAACACCAAAACCTCATCATGTTGTCTTGGACCAAGGATTCAGCCTTCTTTTTGTCTTCTTGAGACAGTATTTCATTACGCAGTTCAGGCTGGCCTTGAACTCACTTTGTATCCCAGGCTGGCCTCAAACTCACAGTAATCCTTCTGCCTCAGCCTCCCTAGTGCTAGGATTACAGGCGTGTGCCACCATGCCTGGTGGAGGATACAATTCTTAACTATAGCCTTGGACAAGCTATTCTATTTTCACTCAAACCCTGGCTTCTAGATGGACCTCTTCTCCCTCCCACCCTTCAGCATTCTTCTTTACCACCATAAAATGACCTTGGGCCAGATAAACTATCATCTTTGTAGCTCTGGCCATGTTGTAGCAATTCTGAAATTACATATTATGGAAGCCATGCTTCTTTCTGACTGCTTTGGGCTACCTTTGCTTTTTCCATGGTGCTCTAGGTGCTATTTTCCTTAAGACCCTGAAAAAGTACTCTTGTATCTTCTTCAGGCCCTGTATGCATTTGCCCCACCACTGTAGAGGCCTATTAGATGTGGCACTTTGCTCTAGCCCCAAGGGTACTTGGAAGCTCCTGTTGCCACTCCTACCCTCAACTCATCCACACCCCCACTGCAGGGCCAATAACAAGGTATTCACTACCTCCATAAGCCTGGCCACCTGCCAAGAGTTCTGCAATTAAATTTTCTATGGCCAAGGCTTTATCAACTTGCTTCAGCCACTGACGGAGGGAAGGAGGACTGGTGGTAAGGAAAGAATAGAAGAAGTCAAGAGAGATGGGGATAGGTGCCTTTTGCAGACCAGCCAAGGAACTGGGAGACAACAAAGTTGACATCCTACTTGATTAGGCACGTCACAGGATTGTTTATTTTTTTGAAAAAAAGACAATTTTCCATCACTCTCATCATATAACAAATCCTAATGTTAAAATTAAATGTAAAGAAGCAAAGTAAACATTCAACAAGAATTCATCATATTAACTCTTACCACTCCCGTACAATATAGTACTTAAAATCTTACAATCAGGAAGAGAAAAAAATAAAAGGGATCTAAATAGGAAAGGAAGAAGTCAAATTATCCTTGTTTGCAGACAATATGATCCAATATTTAGAAGATGCTAAAGACTCCACTAAAAGACTTTTAGTGCTGATAAATGAATTCAGTGAGGTAGCATGATATAAAATCAACATTAAAATTTTTTAAACCTTTTTTCTTATACCTATATTGATAGCTGAGAAAGAAATCACGAAAACAATTCCATCCACAATAGTTTAAAATAAAACGTATGGACCAACCTAAGCAAAGAGGTAAAAGATCTCTACAATGACAATTTCAGAGATTACCGAAGAAAATAATTGAAGATGACACTAGAAGATAGAATGCTCTTCCATGTTGATGGGTCAGCAGAATCAGTACTGTTAAAATGACCGTATTTACTAAAAGCGATCTATAGATTTAATGCAATCTCATCAACACACCAATGACATTCTTCACAGAACTAGAAAAAAGCATCCTAAAATTCATGTGAAAACACAAAAGACCCAGAACAGCCAGAACAATCCTAGGCAGAAAAGGCAAGGCTGGAGGCATCACACAATCCACTTGTAAATTATGCCACAAAGCCATAGTAGGAAAAACAGCTTGAGATAGACACAGAAATAGACACATAGACCAGTGGAACAGAATACAGGACACAGAAACAACCCACAAAACTACAATCTGATTCTGGACAAAGGAGGCAAAAATATATGATGGAGAAAAGACAACTTTTTCAACAAATGGTGCTGGGAAAATTAGATATCCACTTGTAGAAAACTGAAACTAGATCCCTAGTCTCACCTTGTACAAAAATCAATTCAAAATTAAATATGTAGGTATAAGACCTGAAACTTTGAAATGCCTAAAAGAAAACACAGGGGAAACCTTTGAAGCCATAGTCAAGGCAAGAACTTCCTGAACAAGACTCATTTCATAAGAAATTATAGCAAAAATCAACAAATGGGACTATGTCAAATTAAAAGATTTTTGCACTTCAAGGGAAGTAACTAACAGAGTGAAGAGATAGCCTAAAAATGGAAGAAAATATTTTTCAGACAATCTTCTGATTGAGGATTAATATTGAGATTATGTAAAAAGCTAAAAAATATCATAAAATAAAATAGCCCAATCAATAAATAAGCAAATGAACTAAACAGACATTTCTAAGTTTTTTTGTTTTGTTTTGTTTTGTTTTGAGACAGGACCCCATTATGTATTGCAGCCTGGCTTTGAACTCACTTATGTAGCCCAGGCTAACCTCAAACTCACAGCAGTCCTCCTGCTTCAGCCTCCTAAGTGCTGGGATTACAGGCATGCATCACCATGCCTGGCTTAAACAGACATTTCTAAAAAGAAGTACAAATGGCCAGTAAGTATATAAAAAAATGTTCAACATCTTTAGCCATAGGCAAATGCAAATCAAAACTACACTGAGATTCCCATCTGAATGACTCATCAAGAACACTACCCCGCCCCCCAAAAAAGTGCCTGAGGATGCAGAGGAAAAGGAACACTTCCACATCCCTGGTGGTAATGTAAATTAGTACAGCTACTGTGGAAACCAGTACGGAGGTTCCTCAGAAAACTAAAAATAGAGTTATCATTTAATCAAGCTGTACCATGCCTTCATATATACCCAAAGGAATTAAAGGCAGTGTACTACAGAATACCTACATACCCATGTTTATTCACAATAGCCAAGATAAGGAACCAGCTTAGATCCCACCAACATATTATGAATAAAGAAAATGTGATATATATATATGTATATATATATATATATATATATATAAAATTTAGCTGTAAAGAAATTTTGTTATCTGCAGGAAAATGGATGGAACTAGAGATCATCATATTGAGCAAAATAAACCAGGGTCAGAAATACAAATCTCACTTGTTGTCCTTATTATGTGGAATCTAAAAATGATGACATGAAAGGAGAACTATTATTATAGGGGATGAAGAGAATAAGGGGGAGCAGGAGGGGACTGTATGAGAGGGTAGTAAGGAGGATATGATCAAAATATACTATATGTAATGAAACCCTCTCAAAATAATTAATCATATTATACATAGTGACCCTTTGTAAAAAGCATTATTGGTGTGATATAATTGTGTCCTTCCAAAATAGGGGTCCCTTATCCATTTCCATGTCACTCATGGGGGTATTGCCTCTTGGGAGATATCTCAGGATGAGTCGAAAAGAGTTTTCTTTCTTGAATTTTCCAAACTGGAACATTTCACCAGAAGGTTTACTAAGCATTTGACTTGCAATGTGGAGAAAGCCCATCTTTATTTGGAGGAACAAAATGAATGTCAGAGGGAAGAAAACATGAGAATTGAGATGATAAAGAACATGAGAGAGCCCTGATGGTACTGAATCCCTGGATCTGGTCATTCTGGAAGCCAGCTTGACTCCTGTGCTTTCTTCATTTTGGTCGCGTGAATCAGTCACAACCAAGGATCTTGGGTTGAAGTCCAGAGAAATATGTTCTCCAGGTAGCTTAATGGCTAACTAATATAGTTTTTTTTTTTTTTTTAAGAGTAGAAAAACACTAACGTCTAGTAACTTTGTTATATTGAAGAGATCTTGAAAACTTATTTGGAGGTTCTAGCAGGGGAGTACAGCAACTCACATACCCTTGACTTAGAAATGGTCTCCACTGCTGGTACAGTTGTCCTCTCTGAGCACTCAGCTTCAGGAAGGATGCACATGGAGCAGTGAGGGATGAAGAAAACACTTGCCTAGTCAGCTAGAAGAGCTGAATCAACTTGTGTGATCATTTTGGTCACATGATGTCACAACCAGACTGCCCTCACATCTGACACTGAAGAAATCTAACACGTTGAGCCTTACTTACCTGGTCTGGGCTAGACTCAACAAAATAGGTAGTGATGGAGGTAATGCCGGATGTGATATTGAAGAGCCAGCCAATACCAGTGATCACAACATGCAGGATATGCTCCCTGCTGTGAACATAGTGATAGGCATTGCTGAAGACATTAGCAACACCCTGTAAAAACAGAAAATTCAAATTGCTTTTTCTTTTTAAGATAGCAAAATAATTAGCAATGTATTAACTGTACTCTTTTAAATTAATGATAATCTACTTAGTACAATTTATTCATCAGTGGCGTAACATATTCTATTATGTAACAAGAATCATCAAGAACTCAAAGGGTTGGGAGGCATAAGTACACAAGTAAATCCTAGCTACTTGGCAGGCAGAGGCAGCATTGCGAATTCAAGGCCAGCCTGAGCAACTTCATGAGACCTTGTCTCAGAAACGTAGGGAGATGTCTGGAGATGTAGCTCAGTGGTAGAATGCCTGTAGGTTCAGTTTTCAGTATTGGAAAAAAAACTAACCAAACAAAAAGAAGTAAGATAGGAAGGCAGAAAGGGAGAAAGAAAAGAAAGAAGGGTACAGGCTGGGTGTGGTGGTATATTCCTGTAGTTCCAGTTAAAGGGGAGACTGAGGCAGGAGGATGGCAAGTTCCTGCTAGCCCAGGAAATTTAACAAGATCTTTTCTCAGAATAAAATTTAAAATGTGGAGGATAGGTTCTTGGGATGCATCTCAGCGGTGGAGTGCTTACTTAGCATGTGTAAAGCCCTGAATTCAATCTCTAGTACTTCAAAAAATATCAAATGTGTAAAGAGAGATGTGCAACATATGCTTTTAGCCCCTTTGTTAAAAAGCAGATGGCTGAAGGTAGATATGCTTGTTTCTCTGTCTTCTGTTCTGTTCTATTGGTCTGCATATCTACTTTTGTACTAGTGTCATGCCTCATTCAGTGCAGCTCTTGAGAAACTCCCAGGGGTAGGACCACGAAGAAATCAAGGCAAGAGTAAAAATGCAGAAAGCTGAGATCAGGTGGAGTTCTCAGAGAAAAGAACCAGTACGTTTATTTATACACTGGGCAGCTTGATGTCAGGTGAACCCTAACAACTAGCTTGCCTCTCACACCCTGTGGTCTTTGGGGCCAGTTTACTTGGCTCACCTTGGCTCACCTTGGGTATTTCATGTTCTTGGTGCTGAAATAGCTTGTTCACGTGGCTCACCTTGGGTGCTCTGTGTTCTCGGGGCTGGCCTTGCTCCAGTTCACACGTGTAATCGATCTCTAGCTTTGATTGCTCCCCACAGTATCATGCTATTTTTGTTTACTATAGCTTTGTAATATAACTTGAAATGTGGCGTTGTGATGCTTCCTACTTTGGTGTTTTTGCCCAGAATTGCTTTGTCTATTCTAGGTTTCTTCTGATTCCATATGAATTTTAGTATTATTTTTTCTAGTTCTGTGAAGAATGTTGTTAGTATTTTAATAGAGGTTGCATTGAATCTATAGATTGCTTTTGGCAAGATGGTGAAAAGATGGCAATGGTTCTGGGAATACTGGTTTACCCACATGCAGATGATTGAAACTAGAACCATACCTTTCACCCTGTACTAGTATCAAATCAATGATCTAGATATAAAAGTAGAAACTTTGAAATTGCTGGAAGTTAATATGGGCAAATATCTGAACCCATACCCACTAGCAAGAACTTCCTGAACAGTTCCTACAGCACAAGAAATAGTATAAAGAATTAACAAATGGGATTACAAACTAAAAAGCTTCTACACAGTAAAAGAAACAATTAGCAGAGTGAAAAGACAACCTACAGAACAGAGGAAAAATTTTGCTAGCTACTCATCTGATAGAGGACTAATATCTAGGTTATATAAAGAACTCAATTAAATTTATTCCCCTCTCCAATGAATGACCCAAACAAAAAATAGGCAAATGAACTGAATAGGCACTTCTCAAAAGAAGTACAAATGTCTAATAAGTATACGAAAAAATATTCAAGATCTTTAGCTATTAGTAAAATGCTAATCAAAACAACTCTGTCTTTTTACCTTAACCTCATCAGAATGGTTATCATCAAGAACACAAAAGTAACCAGGCATGGTAGTGCATTCCTGTGATTCCAGCACTCAAGAAACTGAGGCAGGAGAATTGCAGTGAGTTTGAGGCCAGCCTGGGCCAAATAGTGAGTTCAGGGCAGCCTGAACTACATAGCAAGACTCTGCCTCAAAATTTTTTTAAAAAAAGCAATGAATGCTAGAAAGAATGAGTAGAAAAAGGAACTCTTTTATGCTGTTGGTGGAAATGTAAACTGGTACAACCACTGTGGAAATCAGTATGGAGACTCCTCAAAAAACTAAAAATAGAAATTCCATTTGACCCAGCTATACCTCTGCTGGGTATATTATTAAAAGAAAGCAAGACATTGTATCATTGTATTATAGTGATATATGCATACCAATGTGTATTATTTATTCATTTTTATTAGTATAATTTTGAGATACATAATGAATACATTCATCATGAGGAACTGATACTTACACATATAGCATCTTAATCCTTTTTACTTTCACTTCTCCTCCCTTCAGTCTTCTCTCCTTCCATCCCTTGATCTCCTTCTCATCTCTAAAAGATCTACTTTCAGTTTTTTATAATCTATATTTTATTTTGCTTTTTAAATTACTTATACTTTGGATTTCTCATATAATAGAAACCATGAGATATTTAATATTCTGTGTCTGATTTATATTACTTAGCATTATGGTTTCAAGGTTTATCCATTTGCATACTCTTGTTTATAGCAACCCAGTTTACCATAGCTAAGCTTTGGAAACAGCTACATGCCTCTGAACAGATGAGGTATATGTACACCATTCAGCCACATTGAAGAATGAAATCGTGTCATTTGCAGGAAAATGGATGGACTTTGAGACCATAATGTTAAGTGAAATAAGTCAGACTCATAAGGTTCAACATCACATGGCTTCTCTTATATGAAAACTCTAAAATATAAATTATTAATGAATAAAATAAAGGAGAGATGGTAAGAAATAAGAAGGCAGACTTTTTGGAGATGATGAAGGGGATCAAGGTAGGGGAAGTACAGGAGTGGAGAATACAAGGGAATGAAAATGATGAAGCTATGTTATATTCATGTAGGCAATACCCCAAATATAAACCACTACACTTTGTTTTTTTAAAAAGAAAGATCTATATAACTTTTTAGCTTTATGAAAACAGTCCAGCAAAATTTGTGATATGTTCTATTAGATAATAGAATCACAAGAAAAAGATAAACATTAAAATGAGAAAAAATATTTAAAAGCCAAGATTCTAGTCCTGGGAAGATGGGTAGGAGCTGCCTTCATCAGATGCCAATAGTACAATAGACATCTGTGGCTAGTGTCATCAGATAAACAGTTCATGACATGCTTAGTCCCAAGTCTTGCAACATGCTAGATTACAGTCTTTTGACAGTCATAAAGAGATCTTGTTCTACAGAGAAGGGATGGGAAGTCTATACAACACATATGTGGTCTTGTCAAGAAACTCTTGGATAACCACAAATTCTTCAAAATCATATGCATTTATATATTAGGACTCAGGCCATTTAATGGTAATCCAGGGGCCTTTATCTCTAAGGGCTAGAAGGCCAACTTCTAATTTATTTGGATATGCTAACAAGACTATATAATTCACCTACTGATAACTCCTCTATTTTACTGCTTAATTTCTTCATGTTATTTCTATGTCAGATGAGAATGAATCTTATACATTCAAGGATACAAGGAAGAGAAAGACATTCAACCACTTTTCTCAGTTATCTATTCAGTAAGTGGGAAAAGAACATGAAAAACAATGATGAATGAACATGCACAGTTAAGGGTTTATAGGGGAATAAATGACAAGGACACAGCATGCTCCTGACTTACTGCACTACTACACAGCCCACTGCCTCCAGAAAGGCTTTAAATCTTCCTTCATTGAAATTTCTGTCCATAGAATTACATAAAAATGCATGTAGAAATGTTTTACTTATTTCATGGTCTTAAAAGTGCCTATTTTTTTGTGACCTACTTTTAGAATATAAACAAATACTCAACAAACATTTGGGGCTTTTTCTTTATTCTTTGTTCTTAAAAATTGTAATACTGAAAATAAAAGCTATGGAAATGCATATCATATTTAGTACCCTTCATGGAAAGAACACAAGATTAGCAGGTAGCATTATTAATAAAACAAACATATATCCCTTCTAAAGATTCATTCCTACTTTGTAGGTTTAATTGTTGGATTCTATTCTACAGCATACATTTTATTCTTGTGATTAATACTATGAGATATGTATTAACCATATTCCCAGAAAGGCTGATGCATGAATGTGTAATTGAGTCTAAGAGTACTTACATAAATAAAGGGAATTTTCTGAAAGACTGACACAGGCAGCAGGACCAAGCATGATAACATATATACATAGCCTTCTTTTCAACTGGTTTCATTTTCCAAGAAATATAGGAAAGGCCATCCTACCACTGCTCTTGAAGACTTCTACATCTTACCTGGTAGAATCTGATCTCATGAGGTAGGAAGATGTTTATTTCATGGGGATCTCTAAGAGTGTCAACAGCCAGGACCCCAAAGACCCTCATATAGGCATCCTGAAGAGGCACAGCCAGGAATGACCCATTGTGATCATTTTGCTTGCGGGATTTGTTCCAGAAAAAGATGTTCCCATGATACTGAACTTGGGGGACATGAATTGGCTCCCCTTCAGCCACTACTGTAAAGCTGAGAAAAAAGGATACAAGGATAGGAATAAGCCACAGGAGGAGGCTTTAGATTAAACCACAGAAGAAACTAGATCAATTTGCCACCCATAATCATGGACATTATATGTAAAAGAAGCAAACTCAGATAAGATTACAAGTTTGTAGGGCCAGACTTGAGGGAGATATTTAAAACACAACTGTAGATCTTACCATAGAAGACATACAAACAGGGTGAAGAGATATAACTTACAAAGCTGATACTGTGAAGAAGAGTCCCTGGGTGATTGCTTAAAAGTAAGCTCTAGAAATGACCAACTGAAATCATTTGGGACTGGAAAGCCATCAGGTCCTACTCTAGATTCACTGGTGAAATTTCCCTCCTGAGCTGCTCACTAGGATTTGGATGCCAGTTTACTTCAGAAGGGGAATTACTTTTTAGAAGAATGAAACCAAACTCTTCAAGAAGTTCTTACCTGATTCCCTTCATGTCCTGGTAGAGCACTTTGTTCAATACAAATGGAGCATCATCTAGGGTACAAGCCACATTTCTTAATAGAATAGTCCCTCTATCTGGTAGTAGTAGGTTTTCTTCTAAGAGGGAAATGTGAGCACTGATCTTCTTATTTCCGTGGGCTTCAGCATCCTGTAGCAAAATGTTTCTATGTATTTGCAAATAGTTAAAGAATGTCTTAATTGTTTTACTAGCCAATCGGTGAATTTTCTGAATAAATTATGCCACTATGTATTGCTATTCATGGCAGTAGGGAAAGGGCTGGCACCACAGATATCCTCTAAATCTGAGTTTTAGTGAGTGGAATGGGTTTCCTATATGCCACCTAGACTGCTTTACTGAAAACTAAAACAAGAACAAAAACAAAACAAAACATCTCAGGTTGAATTAAATTTACAGGCTTAGATCCCTCTAACTATAGTCGTATTTTGGGGGCTTAATTAAAAATATTGATTTTAGAGAGCTGGAACAAGAAAATGCCTTCATCTCACTCACATCTCTTTATCATTTATATATGAATGTGAAAAAATGCTCTCAAGGAACTCGTAACATAGTTTGGATATTTGATCCATGTAATTTAAGAAAAAGATTTCTTGAAGTCCCAAACTATACTTTCCACAACCACTATTTCTAATAAAAGTAACTGAAAGTTCTCTACATTTATAAATCCTAAATAATTAATGATATTATGTGTTAACCTATAGATTGAACATACTCATGAAGTGAGCACATGAGAGAGACCTTTCTTGATATTTGTCTCTCTTTCTATATATTTGGGTTTGCTTTTGCATGCCCTCCCAGTGTCAATATTGTATGACACTGGATTCTATTTTATAATGAATTTACAGTTTAAATACTTTCTTTAAAAAGTAATTACATAGTTTCTAAAGTATTATGCAAGGAAAATGTAGCTTACACTCTGCATCTCCTTAGTGGTATTTTTCATTATCAGCCTATTTTCTGTTTTTAACTTATTTGACTCTCACCACAAATAAAATTAGAAATCCCAAGATGTCATTTTCACATCTCACCTTTCTACCTTTCTTCTCTGCTTCTATATTGTCACCTGGTAATTATTCCAGTTGTATTTCACTTAGGTTTTGGGTCATTTATTCACTGTAATAATGAATCAAACATCTATAGCTGCATCCAATGCCATGTGCTTCTATGAAGCCATTGAAAGTTACTTACTGTCAGGATTTTTTTCTTATATATCACTTTAGAAAACACACCTGGGTTAGAGCCTTGAAAGTCTCAGTGTATACTGGCTCCAGAGATATCCCACTAGTCTCTGCAGCACGTTGGATTTGATGCAGCCATTTCCACCTTGCACAGTTCCTCAAACTCTCAATATGGTTCTTCTCGACAGAGTTCATCAGAAATTCCACAATACTTTCCAGAATTTGACCTTCATCACCCCTGAGTTCAGATACAACCAGTTCTATGTATTTCTGAAACTGCTTTGAAGACAACTTTACTTCATGACCAGAACGTGGCTTTGGAAAATGTATATGTAGTTTAGCTAAAAGACATAAATGCAAAACCAACAACTAACTAAAAGTTAATTTACCCATGAGGGAAATTTTCATTTTCCTCTTAGAGCAAGTTGAAGCCATTAACAGCCACTGTATATGGAAAACCAAGCATATCAAAGCCATGTCTGAACCCTATGGAACATTTCACAATGACTTATATTAAATTCAATATAACTCCTATGTCATGTTTTTCTTTGCCTTTCTTTCATTTACTTATTTAGTTTTTGCCTTTCTTTTAATTCTCCCACTTATTTAGGTGAAACTCTCAGGATCTAATCTGATTCATCCCTATATTTGGCCTTCCATGTTCAGTAAACTACTTAATTCCATCCTGTTATTCTTTGACAATGCATTGGGTGGCCCAGTCTCTTTCATTCCTACTCTCATAACCCTAAACCAGCTTTTACTGGTTTACCAATAGTAAATGCTCCATAAATGTCTGTAAAATTAATTAAAACACAATTTATATTGTGTATTTCCCTATTTTAAAGTCCTACCATAGTTGGATCTAGTTTATTTCCCATCATATATGTTCTTAATGCCATGCAGGAATTATTTGCTCCATATCCCCATTCTATTCATAATCTCTGACATGCCTTGCGTACTTATGCATTCCACCACTTTTATTTTTTCTAATGGTACAATGATGACTCTATCAAACCTGAACATTACCAGTAACTTACATCTTCACTCTGTTTTTCCATATTCCTTCACCTGCCTCCTTGCACCCCTTACTAATATCCTGAATTTGGCTTTATCTTTTTCTCTTTTCTCAGTAGTGTTAGGGTTATATAAAAATATATGTGTAACACATATATACTTCTTTTTTTTTTTTTTGGTTTTTCTCCGGTACCGGGAACTGAACTCACGACCTTGCGCTTGCCAGGCAGGCGCTTTGCCGCTGAGCTAAATCCCCAGCCCCACACATATATACTTCTAAACAATTTGTGGTAGGCAGACACTCACGCCACTGAGCTTATATCCCCCGCCCTTTATTTGTGCTTATTTTTATCTATTTGTAACCTTTAGGAAAAAGTTACTAAACCATATACAGTTTTGTGGGACTTACTTTTCATTCAACATTATCATGGTATGGTAACTATCCATGTTCTATAGCTGTGACTCATTAATTTTCACCCCTGTATGTCATTATATGAGTATACCATTTTTGATTATTTATTCTCCTTGCAAATGATGTTTAGGTTGTTTTCAACATTTTGCTCTTAGGAACAGCACTACAAACATTTTGAACATGTCTCCTGTGTAAATTTATGTAAATTAACAAGCCATTAGAATATGCACCCCTTTCCTTTAAAATATGGTTGTAAGCCTTTTATTCCTCAAAAAGTTTTCCACTTTAATTCAGTCTTCCCCCAAAAGATAATGGCATGCATTCTATATTTGACAATTAACAAAGACTACCTGGAACTTGTGGTCATTTTATCATGTGTAAGCATCTCACTTATATAGTTGAAGATCTCACTTATAGTTGAATATTTATTGACTTTTTAGCATCCACTCATTTTTCTGTTGGTGGTTGTATTTCCAATTTTGCTTTGGAGAAACCAATCCCTCTCTTCTCAGTTTATGTGTGGTAGAGCATGCCTCTCAGGCTTATCCCAGTCAGAGCACCTTATTCCTCTAGCCAAAATGGATGGGTTAGTGAAGATTAATACCAGACACTTTGCTTGCATGATTAGAAACAGGATATTTTCCATTTTATTCTTATTAGACTTGAATGAACCTGTGAAGATGTGAGACTGGACCTGGTCACCACAAAGGGGTAGATTATATGACAATGGAGCTAAAACACAGAAGATAGTAAGGTTAGGCTGAATGCAAGAGAAGGAGAAAGAAAGAGACACCTGTTTTAATGTTGTTATTTACAATCCCAGGCCTTTTCCATTAAATGAATATATTTCTCTTTTTGCTTCTTTTAACCCCTTTGGATTGTGTTTTCTATTATTTGAACTAAAACAGTCCTTAAAAATATAATACTCAATTATTAGGTTAAAGTGCTTCTTGGATTCTTCTTCTTTCAAATCTTTTGCATTTTCTCTTTTCATTCCTTTCTCTTCTTGAACAATTTGGTTCTAAGGCCATTAGGTAGGGGAGAGAAAGGTGAAACCAACATGACACAGAGCAGGGTATATCAGTTCCAATGGGTTAAGGTGTGCATTTGTGCAGGGGTGGCTTGAGCCTGAGCAGGGTGAGGAGGGTATTCACATGGAAGGGAAACCTTTAGCTCACGTGGATTAAGAAAGTGGTACTACAGAGAGGTAGTTTAGGTTGCAATGTGAAAGCCTAATGTGGATGTTTAATACTATGCAGAGTGAAGAGAACCTTCAAATGGAGGGACATCCTGGCTTGGGGGGTCCTAACCTAAGCAGGGTAAAGATGCATCTATGTGGGTGGGAAATCCAGAATGGAAAATTGGAATCCAACAAATTAAGAACTTCCACACAAAGAGTCAGCTCAGCGTGGGGATCCAGAACCTGAGTAGACTGAGGAGGGCATTAACACAAAAACCCACTTGGCATGGAGTGTCAGAGCCTGGGGAATATATGAAGAGCATCTACTTGGAGGGCTGATCTGGTGTAAAATGTCAAGGCCCAAGCACAGTGTGGAGAGCAGCCAAGTGGAAAGAGCAGGTTAGTGTAGGGTGTTGGATTATGAGTGTAGTAAGGACATCAGTGTGGGAGAGAGGACAGCAGAAGTGATGGGTGATTTGTTCCATATAGAAGTAATAGATTTATTGATCAAACAGATAAATATATTTAGGATATCATGAGCCAGAAAGAAGAGAATTCCAAAACTGGAAAGGAAGAAAACTAGGATGAACGCTATTGTTTTGGATTGGATTTGGAAGTAGTAGTGTGAACTCATGGCTTTAAACATTCATACACAGAGAACTATGTACAGATATAAATGTTTTATACCACATGCACATCCATGCACGTACACACAAATTCACTACTTTTGTACATTGAGAAACCTGGCAACAGAAAGTTGCAAGCAAAGAGAACATGGAGAATCCTTATCTCGGCTTCTAAATACTATTTTCCAATAAAATAAACCAGATTTTGCTGCAGACATAGATTATTTCAGGGTTGGAATAGGGAAAATATAAGATGAACCTGGAAGATTTCATTGTAGTAGAAAGCAAGGAAGTGCTCAGTAAACACTGGAAACATGTTTAAAGGGCAGAGGGAACTGACAGTTCATCATAAAACCAAAACTGCTCATCTTGTGGTCCAGAAATTATGCCCCTAGATATTTATTAATAAGAAATGAATACATTTATCCACAAAAAGATTTGTATAAGATTGTTCAGAGCCACTTTACTCATGGTAATTAAAACCTAGAAATGGCCCAAGTGTCCATCAACTAGGGAATTAATAAGAAAGCTATGGTACATTAATACAATGGAATGCTACTCATCAACAAAAAGAAGCCAATAGTTGATATATGCAACAAAATGTAAGAATCTCAAGGAAAATATGCTGGCTAAAGAAGTCTTACACAAAACAGTAATTTAATGAAAACTAATCTATGGTGGGAAAAATCCCAGAAGAGTGATTGTCTTATGGATTTGTGTGGTGGGGATTGAATGGGAAAGGGACATGAGGGAGTTCTTTTGTTTTGTATTTTGCTGTCATTGTTCTTTTATATTTTGATCAAGACATGGAGTACACAAATTATGCATTTACCAATACTAAGCAAAAATATACTTTTATGGAAATTTTACTTAAAAATAGTTAATAAATAGAAAGTCTAATGATACACATGCTACAGTACTTAGGGAGAAGGATATAATTCACTTTCAAATTGGTAAAAAAAAGAGAGTGATGGAAAGATGGATGACAGACAAATATATAGGTAATATGATAGTGTGATAAAATGTTAATGGTGGAATCTAGCTGTGCGTATATGTAGGCTTCACCACACAATTCTTTCAGCTTTATTCTATGCTCAAAATTTTTAATAAAATGTTGAGAGTGGGGAGGGAAGCACATAGTAGCCATATTGCAAGGGCTATTCTAAATCTGAGACAATATGAACATCAAAACAAATAATGATAGCATTGGATTATATCTCATTGAATAAAATAGGAAACCATTACATAATGTTATAAATGAATAAATGAAAAGTTTTACAAGAAAGGGAAGGGCTGGTTTTAAAGTTTCAAAGTACATTCATAAAAATGTATTAATTACAAAGGGGAAAGGAGTTTCCTTAAAGTGAAGTCTGACACATATCCTCTTAAGCAACTAGACAGTTATTAGCATGGGATTTCTGATAGATTTTCAACAAGAAAATACAGCATTGATTCTGTGATATACTCCTGCAGAAGATGAAAAACCTGAATTTAATCATGAGGAAATATTAGAAAACTATAAATAAAGGGCATACTACAAATAACCAGTTTATAATCTTCAAAAGCATCAGAGTCATGGAAATCAAGAAAAGACTTGAGTCTCTTCAAGTTTCTTATTCTAGAGTTCCAGAGTGATGGAATAGTAGTACTTTACGCTACCTACTTGTCCAATTTTCAATTTCTTTAAAAACACTTTGTATCCTTTCTAATGAGACTTTAATAATGTTCAAGGTTTCTGGAATTAGATCACAGAATTTATTACCAAAACGGTGGCACCCTTATCTCTCTCCAATTCACCAACCCCATTTTTTCATTTTTGTTGATATTATGAATCTTAGCTTATGTTATATTAATTGAGGTTATTAGGTTCCTGTACATGGCATTGCTTTACTCACTTCCCCTTCCCCTCCTCCTTAAGTATTTTTCCCTTGGACCACTTCCCTATTGCAAGAGAGCCATGTCCTAGTCTCCTTCTACCCATCTTTACTGTTCTCTTCATTTGTACTTTGCCTCACTCAAATGAGAGATACTATATGGTATTTAAGCTTGTGTGTCTGGTTTATTTCATTGAACATTATATTTTCCAGGTGCATCCATTTTTTTACAAATGTCTCAAATCTGTTATTCTTTATAGCATAGTAGTATTCCATCACATATAGATACCACATTTTCCTTATACAGTTATTTGCTGATGGATATACTGGCTGGTTCCAGGATGTAGCTATTAGAAATTGTGCTGCTATAAACACTGGTGTGCATGTATCACTATAGTATCATGTCTTAAGCTCTTTGGGGAAGCAGTGAGATTTCTGGATCATACGGAATTTCTAACTTCAGTTCTTTGAGAAATCTCCATACTGATTTCCATAATGGTCGTATTAGTTTACATTCAGACCAACAATGAAGAAGTTTCTTCTTCACTACAGCCTTGCCATCATTTGTTATTGTTTGATTTTTTTTTAATGATTGCCGTTTCTTCGGGAGTAGGGTAGAATCTTAGCATTGCTTTACTTTGCATTTCTCTAATGGCCAGAGATGCTGAGTATTTTTTATATATTTGTTGACCATTTGGATTTCTTCCTTTGTGAGGTGTCTGTTCATTTCTTTTGCCCATTTCATCACCTGATCTTTAATTTGAGGTGGTTTAATTCTTTTGAGTTCATTATATATTCTAGATATTAGTCTTTTCTCTGAAGAGTAGCTGGCAAATATTTTAGGTGGCAAATTCTGTAGGTTGTCTCTTCACTATACTGACAGATTTTTTTGCTGTACAGAAGCTTTTTAGTTTGGTATGATCCCCCTTGTTGATTCTTGCTGTTATTTCTTGTGCGATTGAGATTCGGTTTAGAAGATACTTTCCTATACCTATGTCTTCAAGTGTCTTGCGCATTTTACCTCCTAGTAGGTTTAATATTTCTGTCTTAATGTTTAAATCTTTGATCTATTTTGATTTTTATTTAGTATATGGTGAGAAATAAGGGTCCAGCTTCAACCTTCTGCACATAGATGATCAGTTTTCCTAACACCACTTATTGAATAGGCTGTCTTTCCTCCAAAGTTGGTTTTTGGCCCCTTTGTTGAAGATCAAATAGCTGATAATGTGTCTGGGGGAAGTTTCTGCACATCAGTTCTGTTCCACTGATCCACAATCTGTTTTTGTTCCAGTACTGTGCCATTTTTATCACTATGGCTTTGTAGTATAGCTTGAAGTCAGTTATTGCTATGCCACCTGCTTTGCTCCTGTTGCCCAAAATTGTTTTTGCTAGTCTGGGTCTCTTCTGGTTCCATATGAATTTTAGGATTGTTTTTTCTAGATTTGTAAAATATGCTATGGGTATTTTGATTGGGACAGCATCGAGTCTGTGTAACAGTTTTGGGAATATTTGACCAATATTTTGACAATATTGACTCTGCTTAACCAGGGGATATCTTTCCATTTTCTGATGTCCTTTTCAATCTCTTTTTTCAGAGTACTGTTGTTTTCTTTTTGCAGGTTTTTCACTTCCTTGGTTAGGTTAATTCCTAAGTATTTCATTTTTCTTGAAGCTACTGTGAATGGTATTATTTTAATAATTTCCTTCTCATCCCATTAATGGTTGGTGTACACAAATACTAATAATTTTTGCGTGTTCATCTTGTACCCTGATATATTACTGAGGTGACAGTAGACATCCTTGTCTTATTCCTGATTTGGGGGGGGGATACTTTTAGTTTTTCCCTATTTAGTATGATGCTGGATATTGGTTTGTCATATTTAGCCTTTATCACATTTAGGTATGGTCCTTTTATACCTGTTTAATTCAGGGTTTTTATCATGAATGGGTGTTGGATTTTACTGAAAGCCTTTTCTGCATCTACTGATATAATTGTAAGGGTTTTTTTTAACCTAGCTTCTCTTTATGTGTTGTATAATATTTATTGACTTTGTTGAACCATCCTTGCATTTCTGGGATGAAATCTACTTGACCATGACATATAATCTTTTTGATAATATTTGCTAATATCTTGTTAAATGTAAGCATCATAACAACTCTAGTCTTAAACCATGGTAAATGTGCACTAAATGTGATTGCTGTGTCTTCTTTGATGGTGAAAAATAGCATTCACCAGCAATTTTATAGAATCAGTTATCTAAAGCCCAGAAGACTGGGGACTGGGTAATGCCAGAGGGGGAGAGAAGAGAAAAAAGGAAAAAAAATTTTTTTAATTCTTCTGTTCTGTGGTATGGGAAGGAGGAAATGAGGGGAGGCAAAGGAACCTAGTGATAGTAAGGTATGTGTGCTTCTCTTTCTCTTGCCTTTTTTCTATATGTGTGCTTCTCTTCCTCTTGACTTTTTCCCCTCCCTATATAGTTTATAGAGAGTAAGAGAATTCTCCCTTGCCCCTTTATGTCCTTCCTACATTTGTATGTGTTTGTCCACTTGACTTCTTTCTCCTGGGTCTTATTTATTCTCAATTTTTTTCTCTCCCTTTTTCATGTGCTTCTCTGTTTATCTTTTTCTCTAATATTTATATCAGTCATAGAATTTTTTCCCATCCCCACTTCTCACTACCATTTTGTACCAAATTTTCGCTGTTATCCCCTTCTAAATATACATCATACCTTACTATCACTAGGTTCCTTTGCCTCCCCTCTTTTCCTCCTTCCCATACCACAGAACAGAACACTTAAAAAATTTGGCACCAGGAAACAGAGTCCTCCTCCTACAGTTTCTTAAATTATACTTTGTATACTTCTATATAATTGGATTCCCTATAGTCCAATATATGGAACTTTGCAACATCATCCTTAGGTTGCTTAAATTTTAACATGTCTAACTACTTCATTTTACAAATAAGGATAGCTGAGTCTATGGAGGTTAAGTAACTGGCCAAAGGGCATATGACCATTTGTGAAGATCCAGTATTGGATGCCAGGCATTCTGATCATCATATAAGATTTTCTGTAGAACATGGTTCTGGGTATGAAATTTACCCATCTTCTAAATAGAAATCACATCATTAAGCCTTTTGAATTTTCACTAAGTAAATCTTCTTTGGATTCAGTCTTATAGTATAGTATGATATAGTTTGAAGAAAACATAGTTATTGAAGAGACCATAACAACTGATAAGCCTAATTATATTTGAAGATTAATCAATATGATGATGTTTTGAAAGAACTGAAGGACTTAACCAATCCTGACAATTTTTCAACCATGCACTACACACTTCAAATATTAGAAATCTGGTATACAGAAGTCATTAGATAAATCTTTAAACCCAATGAAGATCAAAATCATACTGGGACCTAGTGAAGAAAGGAATTTATTACACTGGAATGAGAACTGTAGTAGCTTTTGTTTGAGAAGTATTGATCAGAAGGAAAAAATATAGTATAGGAGGAGAAAAGAATAAGAAGTCAGTAAATTGAAGAGAAACTTGCAAGCCAGTCAGACTTAAATAATAGTTCAGATCTTGTGAAGGCCAAATGGAAGAACAAGAAAAAATTCTAGGCAGAAATGTGGCATAGTTTGGATTCTTTTAATTATAACAATGAGGGCAACTAAGTACACAAAAAGAATTTTACTATGTAGAGTTAAGGTGTTGGACACATTCCACTCCCAAATACACTGACAAATGTACAAAAATTCTGATTTCTCTGCATTCTTGCCAACACTTATTATTTTCCATTTTAAAAACTATGGCCATACTGTTAGCATGAAGTGGTACCAGAAAAAGAAAAAGTAAAGTGATATTTGATAGTTTTAGTATAACCAGTGTTTGTTTTTTAACTGTATATATGTCACAGTAGTGGGAAACTTGAAGCAAAGTTGTTACCACAACTTAAATAGGTACACTTTTTAAAAAACTTTTAAAGAGAATTAAAAAAATAAAAACAATATACAATTTCAAAACAAGATGATAGGAAATTAACATTGGTTATTATATTGCATTCTTTTGTTGTTGTTGTTGTTTTTTTCTCCGGTACCGGGAACCGAACTCACGACTTTGTGCTTACCAGGCAGGCGCTTTTGCCGCTGAGCTAAATCCCCAGCCCCTATATTGCATTCTTATATTTTACCTTTCTTCATAGATTCTTTTTCCATTCCATCCTTGTATGCGTATAAGAGTTTATCAACTTCCTCTAGATCCAGGAAGCCTGAGCCATCACTGTCCCACTTCTGAAAGAGGGCTTTTAAGAGAAGTCCCTGTCGGATTCGGAAAGCATTTTGTCTAACCTAGGATAAAAACAGGATAACAAGGCACAGAAGACATGCTGTTCATTGTGCTAGCTGGGACCCTGTGCTTAAAAGCCTGGCATATTTTATAAAGACTACTTTACTTTGGGGTTAACCATGATATTAATGGAAAATTCAGTGTAAAATTTTAACCCTGTTAAATATAATTTCTTTGTTTCACTTCTAAACCAAAACTAAAACAGAACCAAACCAAACCAGGAATTGTCTGCACTGGACTAAAACATACTACACTGGGAAGGGTAATAACCTTCTTAAGAATTTCTTTCCAGTCCCTCCCTCATTAATAAAAAATGTGACAAACACATGCGGTGCTCTCCCTGGCTTTTTAGGGGATGTGTTTTGCAGTGAAAGGGAATGAACACAGTGTTCAAACAATGAAAAGTGGTTTTATGCTAAAAAACCTTTTCATATTTAACATTGACTGAACTTGACATCAATTTACTTACCTTTTAGATTTTTCACTAGATGAATTCTATTAACTGGATTGTGTAGTGGATTGACAACTGGTGGTCAACTGTTAACACCCCACTGAACTTAATAGACATGGTTCTAGGTGTGGGAGGCCCACCTAAAGACTGCTGCCAGCAGCATAAGAGGCAGAACTGGAGAAGAGAAAAGGCTGTTGGGAGCTGGTAGAAACTGTTGAGAGCCTGTTGGAAGCTGTTGAGAAGATGTAAGAAGCTGCTGGTTCTCTTGGAGGACCTTGTCACGCTGGCTTTCCTAATGAACTTGGCTGTTCTCATCTTCCAAGGAGCTCAGGACTTTGTTGTCACTGAGAATGGCTTCAGTTCACTTTGGGGGTGCTCTGGTCCTCACTCTGAGCATTGCTTCCTGGCTCTGGAGGGGAAGATGGTACACTGCTCAGTCTTCTGGAAAAGCTTGTTGCATTGGCTTTCCTGACGGAAACTCAGCTGTCCTGATCACTGGAGGAGTTTGGGACTTCACTGTTGCTGAGGATGGCTGTGGTACTTTTCAGGGGAGCTCTGGTTCTTCTTTTGAGCGTCACTTTCTGGATCCAGTGTAAGTCCTTTAGCCTGCTAGCACAGATCCTTTATCCCACTGGCATAGGCTTTCTAGCTTCCACCACTGACCTTTGGGCCTTCCCAGTGCAGATCCATGAAACAGGCTTACATGAAGCATTGTCATGGACTCTAGGTCTTCAGCTGAACTCATGCAGAACATTACGGTGGGATCCAGGGCCTAAGCTGAATTCTTTGGCCTTTAGTATGTGGACATATTTCCTGCACTCTCTTGTATATGATTCTTTGAGTGATTATTATAAATAATCTTATAAAATATGTGTCCTGTATTATATTGTTTCTCCTTGCAAACACCCCAAACCATGACAGATTGTAATTGAATTAATACCTAGAAAGACTTAGCTGCAAAAAGAAAATAAATATGTACCTTTTGGCTAAGTGGGTGGACCTACAGCTGAGGAGGCAAAAAGGATATCAACCCTGGAATTAGCCCAAGAAGACTCATAAAACTAATGAGATTATTGAATAATCTTGGTGAAAGTAATTTTCATTGCACATATGAGAGGATTAGTTGTTTATATAAGTTAATGTGCATGCATTTATCTATCACCCAAGAAAGTATTAAATTCTTAGGATATAGGTGCTACTTGGGGACCTGTAAATGAAAATACATAATCTAGCCATAATCATATCCCTATGTATTTGGATTTGTAAAAGCACTCACACACAGACACATATATCATTGCATACCCATATATCCACTCAAATTTCAGAGGAAAAAAAAGCTATATGATAAGCCACCTCCTGCCAGGAACAATCATGTTATCACTAGGGAAATGAGTTCTGTGGACTGTGACCTTTGAACATTTGCCAATAAAACAAGACATTTAATGGTTGTGCTTGTTGAAATAAAGTGATATTTGGTTGTACATTTTTAAAATAACAGTCACAATGGCAGCAACTAAGTTTGAGAGATTGACTTATCCTAGTGACCTAACTTGTTTCATTGATAAATATTACCCACCTGTTCTAAGGCATTCATTTTCTCTTCTTTTGTTTCAGCATAGCGCCTCTTAAAAAAAGAGGTGAGGGTCTCACTGGCACTCAAGGGGGCATCTTCACCAACAAATGTCTCTAGGAGTTGCACAAACTGGAGCATATCGAAGGAAATTCCATTGAAGGTACTCCTACCTTTTACTTCCTTGTAAGACTGAATATTTCTGATAACTGAGTGTAGTTCTGTGAAGCAGGAAAGAGATACCAAGCAGTAAAGGGGACAATTCTAATCTTAGATAAAACAAATGAATGCCTATTGCAATAGATATCTGCTATTGTTATGATGTGTTTTGTTTTGGTGTTAGGGATTGGACTCTGGGCCTTGCACATACTAAGCATGCACTTTACCACTGAACTAGACCACCAGCCTCAACATCTACTATTTTTGTCTATCAGGAATATATGCTTTTTTAGTCAGGTCCCTGGTGGTCTAATGGCTAGGAATATATGCTTCCTTCATGAGGGCAGCATCTATCTTTTTTACTTTGGGAAAACATCTTTCTGCTGTTCAAAGGAGTTACATGGTACTAAGCCACCTCATTCTTTTTCCACCAATGTGTAATACAGGTTTAGCCAATAATTCATGTATAACAGCAATGTAACCTACAAGCCAATGAACATTAGCTCCAGAATGTTGGGGAGAACTATTAGGGGAGAATTGCTGATTACTGAAGTAGTAGGATGTAAGCTCAGAGATGCTCTTGTGGTCATTTCTGGCCAAAAAAAAAAAAAAGAGAAAACTGGCTAAAATTGAAAGTGACACAGAGAAGAACAGAGCTGAGAGGAAGAGAGAGTGCCCTACTACTGCTGAATCCTTGCTATGGCTAGTATCTAGATGTTCCTCAAAGCCTCATGTACTCATAGGTCAGGCTTTTCAGAGCTGGCTAGATCTGGGGCATGTAATACTGGGATTAAGGGTGTGTGGTACAAAATTAGTCCACTGATAAGAAGTAGCATAGTCCTGGGTGTGGATAATGAAAGCCCCACCTTGACTGTAGGTGGCACCAATTAATAGGCTTATAACCCGGATGCAATACAAAGGGAGAGAGGGAAAGAAGACTTGCTGCTGTTGCTTGCTGCCTTCTGCTTGCCTTGCCATAGATTGTTTCTCCTCTGTGATCCTTTTCTACCATGCTGCCCTGCCTTGGAGCCAGCCGGCTATGGACTGAAACCTTTATAAACCATGAGCTAAAACAAGTCTTTCTTCCTTCGACTTTGGGTATTGGGCATTTTGTCTCAGCAACAAGAAACAGAACTAAGACAATCCTGTTGTGCCTGAAGCCAGATATACTCTAGACTTCTTAGTTGCATGAATTAGCCAACATTTCTTCTGAGAGTTTTGGCTAATGTATTTGTCTTTAAGTTTAACGTTACAACATGAAGCATATTTCCTAAAATGTTAATCCAATTACTTGTGTTTGATTTACTCATTGATTCACTCATTTATGTTCTTATATCTTCTATATGAGATCTGATGTAATTTAAAAATGATTACCCACGCAATTTTTAAAAGCTAGCAAGGCAAGCCCAGCACAGTGGTACATGCCTATAATTCTAGCTATTCAGTAAGCTGAGGCAGGAAGATTTCAAGGTTGAGGGCAGCCTGAGCAAGTTAATGAGACCCTGTCTGACAATAAAAAAGTACAAAAGGCTAGGGATGTAGCTTAATGGTAGCTCTTTAGCATGTGTAAAGCACTGGGTTTCCTCATATTATAGGGGTTAAAAAAAGAAAAAGAAAAGGAAAATAGAGTGAAGCCTGACCATAGAGCTTGACCAATGAATGCTATGCATCTTCACCAGAATATTTTAAACATACAAAGTTTGATATTTGGATATTCTGTTTGCTTTTGTAGTGCTAGGGATAAAAACCTAGGTCCTCATGCATGGTAAAAGTTTGTTATTTGACCCAGGTTTAAATTTTTTAAAAATGCAAATAAAAAGAAAATAATCTTGATCTAATTAGTTCTACTACTTGTTGATATGAAGGGGAAAATGATAAATCTGCATTTTAGTAAAATATGAGTAGAATTTAACAATGACTGTAGTTAAATACATGGCTTAACTGAAAGCTAAATTCTGCTCTTTTTTCTGTTGGACAGAACTTGTTTACAAGTCTTTAAAATATATATATAGACTTTCAAGTGTCTCACATGTTGAGATATGAACCTACCAGGAAGAAAATAGCTGGAGTGATTTTTATTGAGTTCTAATATCTAATATCTGCTTTCCATTGTATGCTTTGGTCATACCTTCAAAGCAGTTGTAGGGTCATGTAATGGTTTTCAAAAAATATACTAAACCAGGCATGGTGGCTTACACCTGTAATCTTAGCACTTATAAGGCTGAATCAGGAGGATCACTGTGAGCTCAAGGCCAGCCTGGGGTAAATAACGAGTTCGAGACCAGCCTGAACTACATTGGTAGACCCTGTCTCAAAATAAAAGTATACTAATGCTGTAAATTTTAAAGTAGAAGAACATTCATCAATAGTACATATCACCACCAATAGCATACCACTACCAAAAATATCCATCTTGTATACATTTGGATTCATTGGCTCTCAGAGATAAAATAATGTAAGGATTTCTTTGTGTCTTAGCAAAACCCAGTCTTTATCATGAGGTACCATGGTAAATTAAAACCATCTATTGTAATTCCATCTATGCTTCCTAGTTTTATTGTTAATATCTACCTGCAAACCTGGAGTTACCATAGATTAAGTTTGCTTGTTCCTCATCTTCAAATTTGGCATACTTCATCCTCCAGTTAGAAGACAAAAATTCGCCTATAAAAAGCACATTTTATACTTAGCCAATTTAACCTCATTTTCACGATGTTTCTACTCTAGGTTATAAAATGAAAGGAAGATTAAATGAAGAATTACCTGACCATGACTTTCCTTCTATTTTAGGGGACTTGGGTTCACAAGATTTGTCTTTCTGAACATCCTTCTTTGTCATTTCTAAGAGGCACAAAATAAAATGCTTATGAATTGAACATTATATGTTCTGTTAGGTATCTTATTAATGAATGAGAGAAATGCCTTACTATAGAACACCAAGAACATGAAGCACTTCCCCATATGTGTTCTATCATAATTGACCACAATAAAGTCACTTAATAATGTCAATTACTGAGAGCAGCTCTGTGGCAAAAGTTGTTTGTTGTGTCCCAATTTGGTCATGCAAAAGGAGGGATATATTTCCCAGCCTCCCTCACAGTGAAGTACCACTATACATGTACCTAAATTCTGACCAAGGAGATACGAATAAATATCTGAAACACAGTGTTTTCTGTCTGAAATATGACTTTCAGAAATTCTTCTAGAATAGATATCCTTTAACTAACTGAAAAAAATGCAGTCCATTTCATAGCTGAAATAAAAAAAATTTAAAAAGTGGTTTCTAATATCAGATACCACATTGAAAGAAAAAGGTCTTCCTCTACCTTTTCAAAAACCCAGTTAAAACAAATGCACATTGCACATTTCTAGCTTTCCCCCTTTTTAATAGGCTTCTACTGCACTTGAAATTCTAGATAAACTGATGATAGAGACATTTTAGTTTGCATTTAATTGGGTTTCAAGTCTAGCCTGATGTTGAGTACCAAAATATGCCTGAGGCTTGCATGACCTGATAAGCCAAAAAAGATTGCAATAATAATGACTATTTTCTGAAAAAACTTTAAAAACCACTCCACACAACAGGGAGAGGAGAACTGAACTGTTTTCTAAAAGATGATCTTTTCTACTTGATGTAGGAACTTCCTCTTGCAGTTCAGAACCCATGAACAGTTCCTCCTCCTATGTTTGCTCCCACAAACTTTCTTTTTGTGAAGGGATTTTAAAGTACTTGCAAAGAGTAGCCTCCCAAGATTTTGTCTTTTTTCTAAAGACTCTACCTTTTGATGATGGTGAAGCTGAGTCTCTGTCCTGCTGTTCTGAAGTTGTCTTTCTGGGTGGTATTTGTTCTGACTCTTTGTGTGGTCCTATCACTGACTCTCTGAGTGATCCTTGCTCTGCAGTTGACCTTCTGGGTGATCTTTGTTCTACAATCGTTGGTTGTTGTGACCCTTGCTCTGCAGTTGACCCTCTGTGTGATTTTTGTTCCATCATTGACTCTCTGCGTGACCCTTGATCTGCAGTTGATCCTCTGGGTGATCTTTGTTCTACAATGGTTGGTCTACGTGACCCTTGCTCTGCAGTTGACCCTCTGTGTGATCCTTGCTGCATCACTGA